AAAACATTGGATCTTCGGATAAATATAGACATAGTTCAACCTGCGATGGCCCGCTTCTAGTATAATCCAAGCAATGACACTCCCATAGACTCTTTTTTGTTGCATGTATCGCTCTTGTTTGCAGCATAGGGTTGGATGCTTTAGCAACTTCACTTAATTGGGAGCGTAAGAGCATGATCAACATAAGGATTTTCAGTCCAATTCGGTCCTCCTACTCAGAAATTGATTCTTTGCTTTATTGCAAGGGATGGAAGGTTATGGTCGAAGAAATCTGCAGTAGCACAAAGGATATAGCTGGTATTAGCAGTACTATGGAAACGTTCTTGTACCTTGCTCGTTCTTATCAGGGTCCTCGTTCTCAATTTTCTAAACTTGTCAGCCCAAAATTATTATATGGATCCACGCGAAGTCAGACAAATGGACTGTGCCGATGGACCAATATCGTCAGTATAACACTAGAACATGCAATAAGAGAAACACTCCCACAGGGCCGATTCAATTGCTAACAAGAACTAAAGGCCAAACATGAGCCAGCACCAAGACCTTTCGAATCGTAATATTTCCTCAAGCATCAACTCGACGACTGTCCCAACAAGTGAGATTACGACATGGAAGTTTGAGAAGGAAAGAATGCTTCAAAACTTAAATGGAATCACGGGGCGCAAAAGACCACCCACTAGTCGATAAGATATTAAGTGCAAAATCCATTTGATTCTGAATTATCATTCCAATTAAAAGCTGACTTGGTCATTTTGGTTCAATCAAAAGACCAATTGCTCAGATTATGCTGTAGTGGAAATGAAATTCAAAGCCTGAAAAAGGAATTTACAAGAACGCTATCGACAAGCGGAAATATGTTAGTTTATTTCGTAGAAAGTTCGGTTGTTTCTTAAATTTGGGATGTATCATCAAGCAATCACTCTGTTCATTCTTTTTTCCAGCTAAGAGTCAACGGATATTGCAAGTACTGGCTTTACCTACTCTTCCAAAGTGACCAGCGAGTCCCAAGGGTTTTGTGCATGGGCAGGGATGGAAAAAACTTTTAATCAAATGACGAAGTCATGGAGCTGGATCTTGTCATTTTGAAGACCAAAGTTCGTGTAAAAATGTGTCACGAGTTTGAGTCTATGAATGAAACTCGGTGCTAGTGGAATTGTAAGGAAGTTTGGTCAATTAAAGGAAAGTCCAAAAAATTGGATATTTGCGGATGTGTGCCATGGAAATCCAGATTTCCTTTCCGGTGCTGGAGAAGGAAAAGGATTTCCTATTTTGTTTCGGCATATATTCAATTTGTGGGTTATTGGTCTTTTGTAGGGTAGATATGTGCGTGTGCGCATGGTGTGTGTACTTGTGGATTTTGTTTGTGGGAAAACACCACAAAAAACCCCAAATTATGTCACTTGTGACAAATTTATCCTGAACTTTTTTTTGTAACACGAAAAACTTCAAATTATGCCATTTGTGACACATTTACCTCATAATACTTTGCTCCAAGGGCATTTTCGTCTTTTTCCTTTTTATGTTTTTTTTTTCCTTTTTTTTCTTTCTTCTCTTTTCCCTCCGCCGGTCATGGCGGAAAGAAGTCAGCGAGGGCGGCCCTCGCCGGCATTGGGGTTGGGTGAGGGCTGCCCTCGCCGGATCTGGCGAGGGCGACCCTCGCTGGCGTTGGGTGAGAGTCGCCCTCGCCCGACTTAGGCAACCCTTGCTGGTGTCGGGCGAGAGTCGCCCTCGTCGACGTCGAGTGAGGGCAACTCTCGCCTGACGCCGACGAGGGCAGCCCTCACCCGCTCAGGTGAGGGCGACTCTCGCTCGACACCGGCGAGGGTTGCCCTCACTAGATCCGGCGAGGGCAGCCCTCGCCCAACCCAACGTCGGCGAGGACCACCCTCGCCGGCTTCCCTCCCCCAGCCATGACGGAGGGAAGAGAGAATAAAGGAAAAAAAAAACAGAAAAACGAAAAAGACAAAAATGCCCTTGAGCCAAAGTATTGCGGGGTAAACGTGTCATAAGTGACATAATTTGATATTTTTCGTGTCATAAAAAAAAGTTCAGGGTAAATTTATCACAAGTGGCATAATTTGGAGTTTTTGGTGGTATTTTCCCTTTATTTGTAACAAGGTTGATGCAAAGCCTTATGTGAAAAGTTGCGGCCGTGTGTGTGTGATATGATTCGGCATGCAATCCAAGGCATGACATACGTGCGAATCGTATCTAATAGAAGCTTTTGGCCGTGACAATCAATTGTGTTGCGTGCTCATGAATTACATCATAAGTGTTTGAAGTCATGAAAATCTTGCGTTCAGATTTGTGTAATTTTTTATGTGAGATTGAGAGATTGTTTTGCGAGAAATTGTGAGGGCTAAACATTATTTGAGTCTGAGTTATTAGGTGTAATTGGGGATTAGGAATAGGTCCCACCGACTGAGCCATGTAAATCTGTGCTCGATTTAGTTTGCTTGGTCTGTTTATTTTAGCATTTGATTGCTTGTTTTTTTGCAACAATTGGTATCAATACTAGATTTGGCTGAGTTGAAGCGAATCAATGATAATAAAAGAAGGAAAAGTGAACATTAATGATTTGATGGGAAGTATTTTTGTTTCTAGAAGATGAAAATTGAGGATTATCTGTACTAAAGAAATTTGCACTTGCACTTGTTGGGGAGAAGCCAAATTCGATAGAGGAAGCTGATTGAATTTGTTGGTTAGATTGGCGTTGGGTGTTATTTGATTGTTGTTATCTTGTAACATTGAGTTTAACATCGTAAAAGAGGAGATCACTATGGGGACTAATGAATGCCTTATCGAACATGTATGAGAAGCCATCTATGATTAACTAGGTCCACTTGATGCGACGATTGTTTAACTTAAAAATGGGCAAAGATGGATCGGTTGTTGAGCATAACAATGAATTCAATGTGGTCGCTAGTCAACTAGATTTAGTTAAGATTGATTTTGATGATGAAATATGTGCTTTGATTTTGTTATTCTCACAGTATGATAGTTGGAATACAATTGTTACTAGTGTCACTATTTCCTCTGAATCAAGAAGTTTGACATCTGATGAGGTTCGTGATTTGATTCAGAGTGAAGATACTCATGGAAAAAAAATGGTGAACCTGTGCTTGCTAATGAAGTGGTAAAGGTAAAGGAACAACTAATACTCGCGTTAATTGGAGTAGTGCGACTTAGAGTGACATAGTCAGTTGTAAGACTGGTGGTGATGTCTGTTGTAATTGTGGCAAGAAGGGGGCATCTTAAAAAGGATTGCCTAGAACTGAAGAATGAGAAGGGTAAGAGAAATATAGTTGAGTCTACAGATGATTTGTAGTTATAGCTGATAGTAATTCATTTAGTGTTGATTATGTTTTTTTTTATCACTAAAGATTTGTCATTTGATGGATGGGTTATGGATTCTGATTGTTCGTTTCATGCTGCACCAAACATGAACTTGTTTATTCCTTATCAGTGCAACGATAGTGATAAAAGTGTAGTTGGGGAACAATGCTGGGTGAAATATTGTAGGTATTGGTGAGGTTAGAATGATAATACATGATAGTATCATGAGGGCATTGAATGGTGTGAGGCATATTCCAGAATTAAAGAAGAACCTAATTTCCTTAAGTATCCTCGATTCAAACAGATGATTCCAACATCTCTGTGTCGAAATGAAAGGAATCTATTGTGTGGTTATGTTTTAAGGAACTAAATGTATATAGGTGATGTGGTTTAGGCAACAGCAGAAAGTGCAATTCAGTAAAACTATCGGAGAAACCACAGAGATTACATAGTTAATTCACTTGGGTATTTCGCGACAGTTAGAAAGCCGAATGCAACTGCTGCTTGATTCTTCATGTGTGAAAATCTGTGTTCATTACATTTGGATTCGTTGCATATTCTAGCTATGACTGTTTGATCTGGATTGTTTGTTCCTGAAGCTTGTCCTTGGCTTGTACAACTATCAGATGTTGCTCATATAGCTCATGATGGATACTACGTAAGTGCTTATGGTGGGTATTGGTCTTCCCACATTTAAATTTTTTTTTTTTTTTGTGAATGGCTAATAAATTTACTCATGACAAATTCCTTCTCAATTTCCCTCTCCATCAGCACAAGTTTTGAGAGTTCGCATCGACAGCACTTTTGCTCCATGACAGTATGATTCTTCTGAACTTGTGATCGCACGTTAGAGTTGTATATAGGTGTCTCTCGATCAATTGAAGACAAAAGTGGTTGTTAAACATTAATACGAAACATTTTTCTGCGGAAGACTGAATTTCGCAATGAGTCATCAAGACCTTAATTTCCGAGCCATGTGATACTTTTAAAGGTAAATCTGTTTCCTTAAATCTTGTATTAGCCAATTGGCAAAGAGTCGAAAGATCTAATGCCTTTCACATGCTTCTCGTTGGCTATTTTACATTGAGACCGAGATCATCTTACTCTCTCCATATTGCTATATATATGCACAACATATTGAGATAATGATTTTGGCATGTGCTGAGACATTTTGTTCTTTGTTTTATGTCAGAACGAATTGATTCGAAAATAATTCTCGATTATAATGACTAGAGTTGAATCTCCAAACCTCTTGGACATTCAGTCATTTAAAGATCGCTTATTTCAATTCGTCCCTCAAATTTTTCAAGACACGGACCAGGACCGACAGTTTCTTTGACACGAATTTGCTTTGGCTATGGAAATGGACATTAACAAACTCGAAAACATCACAAAACGCAAAATCAAAATCCATTCCTTAGCACGTTCAACAGAAGGAACAACAATCGGGATCTTCTTCCGTGACACGTTCGTTATTCATAACAAAAAGAACTTGACATGCGAACTCGAACTGGTAGCTGATTTTGGGCCCAACATTGGGCCGAAAGGCCCACAACTCAAGCCATTTCGGTTAACCATGGGCCTATTTGGGCCACGAACTGGGCCGGGTTCAACTCGGCCCATATGAAACGGCAAGAGGAAGCAAAACCCTATATAAATGCTTTAACCCCATTTCGTCCCTAGGGTTTCGCAGTCGCAGGAGGAGAGCAGAGCAGAGTAGTCGCCGAGCGCCGCAGCCGCCGCCGAGAGAGGACCTCCGATCACAGCAGCAATGGGTGAGAGCGACGGCGCTCGCTTCCGCCTCCCTCTTTCTGTCGATTCCGTTTTGGATGTCTTATTGCGTGCTGTCTTTGAAATTTTCGCGACTTGAACTTTTTGCCCTTCCGTCTTGAACCGTGTGAACAGCGAGGATCAAGGTGCACGAGCTGAGGCAGAAGACGAAGGCCGACCTGCTGGGCCAGCTGAAGGAACTCAAGGCCGAGCTCGCCCTCCTCCGCGTCGCCAAGGTCACCGGCGGCGCGCCGAACAAGCTCTCCAAGATGTACGTCGACGTTCTCACTTGATTTCTTGCGATTTGAAGGCCTAAGTCAAGAGCTTTATGTTTATGATAGATGGTAATGTCGCTTTTGGGATGATTATTAAGCTTGGGTTATGCTGGTTAAAGTTGGGTTTTCGGTTGTTCTTGATATTCGCGTTTGAGGAGGTCAGAGCACGCTGTCTTGTTGCTGTTTATTTGATGGGTGATGAGTACTTTATGGTAATGGGTGGTGATAGCAACTTTGAGTTCTGTGCTGGAAGCCGGTCGGGTTATAGTTTGTAAGGCATTGAAAATTCGAAGTAGTTTGATTTGTTGATGAATCTCAAGTAAAATGCAAAGAGTGGTCTATTTGCAAATTTACCTACTGAAACTTCGAAGTGCAATTATGGTAGCTTAATGGGTATAATATAACGGTGGGCATTGTTTCCAATTGGACATAGGGAACTAGTGCTTTGGTTTAATTGGTTTTTGAACATCGATTGTTGCAGAAAGGTGGTGAGGCTGTCGATTGCACAAGTCTTGACTGTGATTTCGCAGAGACAAAAGGCTGCTTTGAGGGAGGTTTACAAGAACAAGAAGTACTTGCCCCTTGATCTCCGTCCCAAGAAGACCAGAGCCATTCGGAGAAGGCTAACAAAATACCAGGTGGTGATTTGCTCCTTATTTCTAAGCCTTTATATCTAGTTGTTAAAATGCATCTTCCTTCTGGAATTGCTCATAAACTAAAAAGATATATCACATGGATATTTTAAAAATGGCCAGTGCTTGTTATTCTGGATGGTCCTTTGCTAGCTCAATGGTGTGAGCAAAAGCAGGACATTGCTTGGTGAGGATATTATTTTGGAATGAGTGAAAATTTCAGAGGGTTTAAGTTGTAATAATTAGTTTCTGTGAACCGTCTGTCTCAGCTGGGACCATATGCTGTTGCAAGATGCGTGATTTTTCTCTTTAACATGGACCATGTGATCTGCCTTTCGTATCCTTCTCTTTCGTTTATATTGTATTCTTTGCATGCTTCCCACGTCCCATTTATACTGAGAATTTAAACTGTCTTTACATCTAAATTCTTCTAAACTTTTATATGCACTTCATGAATCCTTAAAACTTTTGTAAAGATTTTTTTCTGATGAAGTTTTCTGTACTGGACTTTTTCTCCAAGTTGTCTTTGTGATTCATCATTTGCTTGAATTGGCACGACACATTTCAAATCAGTAACGCATTAATTCGCACACTGATTTTGTATATCTTGCTTCTGCTCAGGCATCTTTGAAGACAGAGCGCGAGAAGAAGAAAGAGATGTACTTTCCCCTGAGGAAGTATGCCATTAAGGCATAGTAGGGATACCGCTCACGTTGTATTGGAGCTTTGTCTTTTATGAATATCTTGGTTGATCAAATTTTCGGGTATCTTGATCCCGCATCACAGTTGGGTGACAAGAAATCTAGCTTTGGCGCTTTATTTTTTCCCCATTGAGGACAATTGTCAGGTTTTCTTGACTTCGTAAATTATAGCTAGGGTTGAATCTTCAACAACTGATGATCATGATTTGAGAACCACCATGCATGCGGGCGTGCGTTTTTTTTATCAAATTTATCTGATGGTTTATCTATCTTAAATCTAGTCTTACACAACAGACAGAACACTGTACATGATAGAAAATGTACATATCATCTTGGGTTATTTCCTAAACACGGATTAGGAGGGAACAATCCATAGGTACTGCAGCCATGATTCCTGAGACACTTAGCAGTGATAGCTGATGTGTCGCTTGTTGTTTCAGTGCGACACAGCTGTTATTTCACGGGCTGTGAATTCTGAGGCTTTGCTAGTAAGGTGTGCATTTGACGCTCTTCTTGCCAAATATGAGCATAGTTGTTATAGGCGATTTATTCCAATAGTTGAAATTTTTTTAGGAAAGTACAGTTTGTTATCATTAGTTGGAACTATAATTGTGAAGGAAGCTGGGAAGGGTCAGGAGCTTTTAGCCTCTAGCGTGATTTTGTTAGTAGCTGCGATTGGGGGAAGGAAGCAGCTCTTAGCCTCTGTCCGGCCAAGCTGTGGTCTAGATAGCATTCGTCCTAACACGGTATTCACCAAAGATAAATTGGCCCTTTCTGTTGGGATAGTGGATCCAATCTGTGAGATGAAGGAATCTTTAGCTCACACGGAGGTGATTTATGGTGTTCTTCGATTAGAGTAGAATAGAGAGGCTAGTGCCTTTTCAGGCTTCTTTCGCCGTGTACCCCGTACATACTCCGGTGGTCATCCAAAGGTTCTTGATAGGCATTATTGGAGGCTGAAGTCGATCTTAACACCCGTTCTCCCAATTCACTGACTTGAGGCCTCAGAGTGCATTAGGGGGGGGGGGGGGGGGGGGGGGGAATGTGGTGTGGGGGTTGGGGTTGGTGGTTGCTTTTCTCGGACTCTTCCTCTCCCATCTCTCGTGTAGGGATCACAGACAAAGCCGGAAGTTGAAGCTTCCATTGGCGAGCCAACCATATCCCACAAAACTAGCAAAATGAAATTTGTCTCGTGAATGAATGCTGTACTTCTAACATAAAGAGACAGAGAGAACGATATGTAGTTATGGTTTCACAATACAGTACAAAGCAAGTTAATCATCAACATATAAAACAATCTTTGGATTTAAGGGCCAAGTAGAACTTCAGCCCATAATCCCAAATTACCTATGTTGAACCTGTATTCCTGCCATGAAATGATCAATTAAACTGAGACCACCCTTATTCTAATCTCTGTCGAATACATATTTAAGTAGCTAGAGGAAGAGAGGAAGAGATGAGAGGACTTCTCACCATCTTCATTAATTTGAGGAATTATGATTAGAAGCTGAAGAATGACCATGGCAAGGACTGTTTGGACCGCTGCCAATATTAGCTTTCGATTCATGGCCTCTGTCATGAGTTCCTGATCTATACAAGTATTCAAAAGCATGTCGTATATCATGAACTCCAATGAAAGAAAATGCAGCTCTAACTAGAAAGTCAAATAATCTGGCGATAAGTATTCCACAAAACTTCAGGAAAATTACCAAAAAAGTCCTAAATCTTTTGCAATTGTGCCAATTCAGTCCATCCGGCCACTTTTGGCCGGTGCCGGCCAGCTGACGTGGCAATTTTTAATAATTTTTTTTTTATTATTTTTCGATTTTATTTTATTTTTTTCTCTTTATTTTTTTTTTCCCCTATCTTCTTCCCCGGTCGCCGGTCTGACGACTGGCGAGAGGCTGAGGCCGGCGAGGTGGACCTCGCCGGCCATGGGCGAGGTCAACCTTGCCAAGGCCAGGGTGAGGTCGAGCTCGCCCAGCGATGGCGAGGCCTCGCCATTGCTGGGCGAGCTCGACCTCGCCCGGCGACGGCGAGATCTCGCCAGGTCTAGCGAGACCTCACCGTTGCCATGGCCGGGCCAGGTCGAGTTCGCCAGGCCATGGCGTCGGCGAGATGGACCTCGCCGTCGCCAGGCGAGGTCGACCTTGCCAGGGCCGGGCGAGGTCGAGCTCACCCAGCGACGGCGAGGTCGAGCTCGCCGTCGCTGGGCGAGGCTGGCCCTCGCTAGTGCTGGCGAGGGCCAGCCTCGCCCACCTCGCCGGCCTCAGCCTCTCGCAGGCTGCCGGTCGCGGGACCGGCGACCGGGGAAGAAGATAGGGGAAAAAAAAAAGAAAGAGAAAAAAATAAAATTTTTTTATTAAAACTTGCCATGTCAGCCGGCCGGCGTCCACGTCAGCGCCGACCGGCCAAAAGTGGCCGGATGGACTGAATTGGCACAATTGCAAAAAGTTTAGGACTGAATTGGCAAAAAAAAAGGTTTAGGATTGAATTGGCACAATTGCAAAAGGTTTAGGACTTTTTTGGTAATTTTCCACAAAACTTCTATTAATTCAACTATAAACAAACCCCGGAAAAAAACATGTGAGATTGGTTAATAACTAAAACAACATTTCACCACCGGTCGAGAATGGATAATTTTGGAGACTTCCAGACAAATTCACGAAAAGATTAGCTCTATACCACAAGAAAGCATTTTATGAAACGGATATACCACGTGATAGTAATGACTTGGTGAACTGATCAGCCATCAATACCCACGTGCCATGAATCTTATCCTACTCGATGTCACATGTGCATACAACCACGTCTTGCTTCCGCGTGGTGGATCCGTCATATAAAATGCTCTTTCATATATTATTTGTGGTTGTGATTGGATAGTATCGTTTGGAGTCGAGTTCGTAAGCGAGTGGCGATTGCTTATGCATAAAGTATGGAAGCCAACTTTTGATTGAGACATGAATAGATGAATGGATAGATTCTATCCATGCAGAAGTCAAACGTCGTTCGAACCAACTTGGTCGTTCAAACATTCGGGCGCAAGGAGGTCAATGGATGAACAGCATTAGGGTTGCAAAAATCCCACTGACCTTCAATTGGAAGGCGACTTGGAAAATTTGTATGTCCTGTTGCTCCACGCAATTGGCAAGAAGTTTTAACCTCTCTCTCTCTCTTGGCAAGAAGTTTTAACCCCTCTCTCTCTCTCTCGCTCTCTCTCTCTCGTTTAAAATTCAAAACTAAATAGAACTTCTTCTCTCTCTCTCTCTCTCTCTCTCTCTCTCTCTCTCGTTTAAAATTCAAAACTAAATAGAATTTCTTGAAATTCGAATTATGTAAGCATTCAAATGGTATAATCATAGGAAAAGTTCTTAAATTATCCAAGAATTAAATTATTGAATTTTAGAGAAAAAAATTCGTATTTAAAAGATCTTAGACTTTATGTAGAGTTATCATGAAACATTTTTCACTCAGTAATAGTAATAGATCCTTCGCACACGCACATGCCAGACAAGAGACGGATTCGAGTCTCTTTTTAGTAGGAGAATGGAGATGTCAATCTCAAATGTGAGATATGTGTATCATGAAAGTAGGAAACTTGTTAGGTAACTACGTACAACTATCAAATTGCCATTATTTGCATTTGATTTTTCTTTATATTGAGAACTAGGACAATTTAGTGATTTGAAGGATGGACGCCAAATTTGAAGGTTGATTTGATAAGTAAAATACACAGACAAGTCTCTTTTTAGTAGGAGAATGGAGATGTCAGTCTCAAATTTTGAGATATGTGCATCATGAAAGTAGGAAATTTGTTAGGTAACTACGTAGAGATATCAAATTGCCATTATTTGCATTTGATTTTCTTTATATTGAGAACTAGGACATTTTAGTGATTTGAAGGATGGACACCAAATTTGAAGGTTGATTTGATAAGTAATATTGACATATAGATAAATAGAGAGGTGATTACCCATAATGAAAAGAATTTTGATCCTACTGTTTGATGTCATTGACAAAAGAAAATTTTTCTAAAGTAAAATTTTAACTATTGGTAGCTGTACACTGAGTGGGTAGTGGCATTTTTTTAACGGTAAGGTGGTGTCCGGGCCGGCCCATTTTCGTGTACCTCGACAAGTCCATAATGACAAGAATTTCGACCCTATTCTATCATTTTGATTGACAAAAATATAATATTAGAGAGCAAATTTTTAAATTTTGGTAGCTGTGCATCGAGTTGTAGAACTGAATGGGGTCTAATGGCATATCTCTCTCTCTCTCTCTCTCTCTCTCTCTCTCTCTCTCTCTCTCTCTCTCTCTCTCTCTCTCTCTCTTCACAGCGGTCGGTGATGTTTAGGTCATTTTTCGCACACCTTAATAAGTCACACTTACGTGGCTGATCCTTAAAGGGTACACTCAGGATTTCACTTCCAACAATACTTGAATCCAAACTATAAGGAGAGAAGCAAACTCTCTTACCATCTAAGCCAACACCTTGTTCGCTAGATGAGTGGGATTGTGATAGTATACTGGGAGAAAATGAAAGCGACCAAAACCGAGAAAATTAGAAGAAGTAATCAAAGAGAAGTATAAGTAGACTATTGACCGTTCCGCAACTGGACTGTTTAGTACTTCACGGAAATGATCGAGAAGGTAAGCTCAGGTTCATTGCACTTGAAACTCGGAAGTGCACAGAACGTCAATGACCTTCTGAGAAACTCCAAACCGTCATACACACGGCAAATCTCCCTCATTCACGGAATCCGAGTCTCACTCACAATTCGATGGAATTACTTAGACTATGAACACCGAGAAGTTACTATCGCAAGATCTGTATAGACCATGTAGACCAATATCATCAGCACCATCAATTATGTGGGTCTCATTGCAGAAGGCACATGATCACTGGTCTAGATGAATTTGGTCTACGTTGTCCTTAAGTCATACGATGTTTTTCTTTTTTTGTGAAAAAACTACCCTTAGCACTCGTCGAAAAAGCTTTTCCGGGGTGTCTTGTGCCATCTCGAGTGAAGTTTACCAGTTTGATAGGGGGTGGTTTAAGACCTCGAATCGCATTTTCTTCATTTATCTGGGGCTAGTTCTCTAGATAAAAGCCCGCTAGGGTTTTCTATGATTTCCATCCTGTTTCTTAGCTTTTGAACTTTGAATCTCTTCGGACTTGTGTGCAGATTTTGCAGAGCTACATGCATATCTGCACTAGTCTCCTTCTCTTTGTCCGATAATTAGAATCTACAAATCGAAAGTTAAGAAGCCAGGGTTCCTGCATTTGCAATTTTACGTACGTGTTGCTTATGGATTCGGACTCGCGCTCTACGATCCCGACCATTGTCAGTTCCATCTTGCCAGGGAAGAAGTAATTTAGGGCATATTTGATAACCATATGAACAGACACTGCACTGTTTCCTTAACTCTCACTAGTTGACCTCGACGATAACTACTTCAGCTTTTCGCCATTATTTTTCTTCAGGATTAGTTGAAAACAAAGTTGGCGGATAGACCGACCCTAGTTGATTCGATTATCCTCCCAGTTGTTATCTAGGCTTGGTCATATATATCACGAGCAAGCAATTTTCCTTTCGTTCAAAGATCAGAATTTCGATTCGTTGAATAGGGGGCATTTCTGTGCGAACATTCTTAGGTTCTGACTTTATCGCAATTTCCTCGAACCCATAAAATATACTAGGAAATCGCCATTATTTTTTCACTATGCTTCATCATGGTTGCGGTCTCCTCGTCAGAGTTCTTGCATAATCTCGAGCGAACGAGACAGATCATCAACGTGCAGTCGCTAATGATCCTGCTGGCATTCGCATCTTATGTTGGTTGTCTGCTCATTTCCCCAGTAAGAAGCGGTGTTTACGCATACAAGTGATGGTGAAGCAAACCAGATAATGTAAGTCATCCCTTGATTGAGATGTGTGGAAAACAATGGAGGCTTATAATATTTCCAGGCCGTTTACTATGGATGTGAAATGTGAGCAAATCCAGATTGATCTTTGACCATGTCGTTGCCTGCAAGGTATTTGCGCGAGGGCATGTTCTTAAATTTAATCAGTCTTCTCAACCACTCCTCATATCAAATAAATCAAAAGATTATTTATTTCTTTTGGTCTTAAAGGATCTATGAGCTTGTTTCTTCTACAAATTACTGCATGAAAATTGAAGTAAGCAATTGCGACAAGTTCATTAGGAAAACATTTTAGTTTTGTTATAGTGATTAATTGAAAAGCCACGATGTATGTATCCACTCTTGGTAGAACTTCGGCTAATACATGGAAAATCAATTTGTTTTCTTTTTCTTTTTTCCAAATGCTAAGCGCCACGGCGAATTTGTGACTCTCTAAGTGCAACTTGTGGCGACCACTCGCAAATTCTACAGAGCATTGCTAGAAATTTAAATAAGATTACAAAGACCAGCTTTAAAGAGCCTACGCTGTCATGTATCATTCATCGTCTCCGTATTAGTATAAAGGCAACACTACTCGTTAGCATGGCAAATATGCATGATCACATCAGTTTTTCATACTTCAGGTGTCCCGAACGGTTTGTGCTTCTAGAATTACCTTACTATGTATTGCAAAATTATACTAGGACAGTTCGGAGTCATCGTAACGTATTGGCTGTTGACGACTTCAACGTGAAATAATTAACTAGATTTTCGCAACTCTCGCTTCATCATGGAACTAAAGTAGGTGAGTAAAAGGTCTAGGTTCATGGAAAACAAATTCATAAACAAAGATAATAGATTAGTGCCCGGATTCTTTAGGAGACTTTGAAAAGAGACTTTTAAAAGAGATTAGTCAAGTCACCGGATTCTTTAGGAGACTTTAAAAAGAGAAGCTGACTGAGGTTAGCAGTTCCTGATTTTTTATATGAATATCGAGACAAGAAGAAAATTTTGATCTAGAAAGAGTCTACCAGACGAGTTCCTCTGACATTTTCTTGATTGTTTCCCAGCCGGCAATTGCCATGTTCTGCTCCACACACAAATCCAGTGCAAGAATGTTATACTAATTGCCAAATGATGTAATATTATAATTAGCAACTAGCAAGCACCAAACCAGAAAAGAGAGGCATGACTAACTGGCCTCTACTCAACCACACCACGTCATTTTCTCTCGAAATCTTCCACTGATTGGCCCAAACACAGTCGACTATCTTCCGTCAACAAATCCAAGTAAACCACCACATGAAGTGGATACTTTCATTCGTCTACTCTCCTTATAAATAACCCATACTCATAAGCAAATTATACATAAAACAAGCCCCTCTCTCTCTGTCTCTGTGTCTCTCTCTGAGCGTGTGTGAGCAACAAGAAAAGGAGAAAGCTGAAAGGCTAAATGCCAATCGTAGGAACTCCAAGAGCGAACCAAGCCATGCCAAGAGAAGGCATATCAAACCTCTTCTCGTCGTCCAAACCACTCTCTCCTTCTTACTCTTTTCCAAGCCCTCACATTCGATTCGCACCTAAACACACATTCTCAGAGTCAATGATGGAAGAGAACTTGGAAATTGCCGAGTCCATCATCACTAGATGGGACTTGAACAACTCCGACAACACGGTCCCCTCTCTCTTCCATGACAACAGAAGAGAATCCGTGGAGTTTCTCAAATCCGTCAAGGACCTGCGTCGAGCCATGGATTTCTTCATCTCTACAAACTCTAATTCTGATAAGCTTGTACTTGCCCAAAACCTTATGCAAATCGCCATGAAAAGGCTTGAAAAAGAATTCCACCATATACTGTCCACCAACCGGAACCAACTGGATCCAGAGTCGATTTCAGGTCGTTCCTCACGTGGATCAAGCACATTTGATCGCGAAATCGAGGAGGAATATCCTGGGGAGCTGACCACTGAAGAAGGGCCCATCTCGGAACTTGCCATGGCGAACCTTAAGTCCATAGCAGATTGCATGATCAGTTCTGGCTATGGTCAAGAGTGCGTCAAAATTTACAAACTCGTCAGAAAGTCCATTACCGATGAAAATCTATATCAACTTGGCATCGAAGGATTCAGATCCGCCCAGATTCAAAAACTAAGCTGGACTGCGCTTGATCACATGATCAACAACTGGCTAACTGCAGTGAAGGTTGCAGTGAAAACAATCTTCAGAGGGGAAAGAAACCTCTGTGATCACGTTTTCTCAGCATCCCACACAATCAGAGAATCTTGCTTCTCTGACATCACCAAGGAAGGAGCAATCAATTTATTCAGATTCCCTGAAATGGCATCCAGAAATAAACCATCGACAGGAAAGATCTACCGTTTCATGGAACTCTATGGAGCAACGTTTGAACTCTGGCCAGACATTGAATCAATATTCAGCTACGAGTCCACCTCAGCGGTCAATTTACAAGCACTCTCCTCACTAGTTAGACTTGGCCAGACGATCCACAACATTATTGCGGCATTTGAGTCCACCATTCAAACCGACTCTTCCAGGACGATGGTTCCTGGTGGTGGGGTCCACCCCCTGACCCAATCTGTCATGGCTTTCATTTCCTCCCTTGTCGATTACAGCAAAATCCTCTCCGAGATTCTTTCTGATCACCCGCTGCCAAATAACTTTCCCATGCCAGAGTCCTATTTTGAGAGTCCAGGCCAAGGAGATGGCCCGACCCCAGCTGTGCCACTCCACCTGGCACGGCTCATACTAGTTCTTCTATGCAAACTAGATACCAAAGCCGAGCTGTACAAGGATGTCTCTTTGTCCTACCTCTTCCTAGCAAACAACATTAACTTTGTTGTTGTAAAGGTTAAACTGACCAACCTTAACTATCTGCTCGGCCACGAGTGGTTCTCAAGGCATGCTAGGAAAGTCGAGCAATATGCATCAAGCTACGAAGCACTTGCTTGGAATAAGGTATTCTCATCACTGCCTGAAAGCAACTCTACAGGAACATCTGTAGAAGCAGTGAAGGGTATTTTCAGGAAATTCAATGCAGCCTTTGAAGAAGCATACCGGAAGCAGACTTCATGGGTCATACCAGACAGGAAATTGAGGGACAAAGTAAAGGTGTCAATTGCGAAGAAACTTACACCTGCATATAGAGAATTTTACGACACTTATTTAGGTATGCTGAGTGGGGAAAAAAACTTGGGAGTCCTGGTAAGGTTTGGTCCCGATGATCTGGAGAATTATTTGTCGGATCTGTTCCATGGTACCGTGGTATCAGGGAGTTCTTCCTCGTCTTCTTCTTCACATTCACAGGGTTGCTTGCCCAGATGAAACAATAAATTCCAAGTTCAAGTACAAATAACTATTCAACATCTGAAAAATTTTCTTTATGTTAATTGCAATTTTTTGCCAATCAGGCTTAGTTGAGTAAAGGCATGTTAATTTACTTCAATCGTTCCATATCCTGCTATTCCACTCTTCTGCATTGCTTTCAATCTGATTCCAATTCATAGACCACTGTCTTCCATCCAAAAGCAGTTAAAAACTAGTTTGAAAATTAATTTTCTGTATAAGTTTGTCATCAGAATATTTGGACATAGAAGAAAGAATCATTATAAGTATTAGGGCTAGTTTGTTTAGCATTAACAATAAGTAAAGAGTGTCCTTTTGCTTTCCATCGAAATTTAGTATATTGTTCAAATTTCAGAAAATAATGAAAAATCATATGCTAAAGTTTTAGGTATTTTGGGTCGAAAAAAGGTCAAAGTGCATGCACATCAAGATTTAGGTTAAGCAAAGAGCATGCGCTACAAGATTTAGATTAAGCAAAAAGCGAAACCTAAAAGCAGCCAATCCAAACACTGCCCTTAGTTAGGTCGAATGGATAATGTAACTTGAGTTAGGAAATTTGAGAGAATAATACCATGCTAAAGGCAGGTTGACAGATGAAGAATTCAATTGATAGACTCGGTCTATAACAGACAAACAGCCAGAAATATGAAAAATTTTATTATATCACAAGTACAATTCTTTTCATAAAATACACAATGCAAAAGCTGATTGACATTATATGATGACTTGGACCTCACAATCAATCCAATTTCGTTACATCCCTAGTTGTAGCTGAAAAGTATAGTAGACAAGGATTGCAAGAATTTCAAATTCCGAGTTGATACTACTTCTGGGAAATTCACACTCGGTATTTCCTCTTTACACCAGCCTGCTTGACCGCAAGCTAATTTACACAAATTTTTAACTCAGAATTTGCCTTTGTTTGAGATGACTTTTACTTTTATTTTTCTCAAATATTTAGGCTCCTGCAGTTTGAAGTTTATTTCTGCAAAACCTGAAATCTTTCAGAAACAAATACATATTGACAGGCTGGTTCACATATAATTTTCTCATAAGTAATTAAAATTTTAATAGTATTTTAAATAGTCAATATGTAACCTTTGCTTAAAAAATTTCAAAAGAAAAGCATTAGCTTCGAGGATTTCCTATTCAGTTGCAGAAAGCACTGGAAACATAATAACCAATCGGTCAGAAACAATTAAGGCTAATCGGCCTTCAATTCACGGACTTGCGTAACTATTACTCTTTTGTGCTCGGTCTACTGGTGAAGTCTTAACTGGGAATTTGAGCTGGCCTAGCTAATACTCTTTCTGAGCTGGGTCCACTGGACTCGGCCTAACTAATACTCAATGGCTTCTAATGTGCGTTTTTGCTTTAACCATGTAAAAGCAACATAGCATCTCTATATAATTGTCATTAGAGTAGAACATATTTTCCATAATATGGAAAAATAACTCTAAAACAAGAAGAATATATCAAGTCCTCAAACCTCGTGATAGACCCAATCAGAAAGGTAAAAACTTTTCAAGGAGGAATGAGGGAAGAAATATGCAAGTTCTCAAACTATTTTAAGGCTCCACCAGCATATTTCCATCTCTCCAGAAGAAAAAATGAACAACATACACATTTAATATATGGGCAATACTCATAGCAGAAATGATTGGAAAGGAAAAATAATTCAACGAGCTTGCTAAGTTAAAGCACTGAATCATCATAACTACAACCAGAAATCTGATCTCTCCTGTACTAGCAGATTGGGGTATGAAACAATGGGAAAATTGCCCATGATTGCAACTCAACTATAAAAAGGGCCAAAAAACTAGCCAACTACCATATGATCGACTGGCCTTGGAATGGATTGCCAACCTGTGCATATCTGGAGAACATATTTCAGAGAATCAGAAGGCATTTCTATGGTCCAGCTCGGGTAAAATTCACTTGGATGGAAAACACCACATTCTCCAAACCCAGCTTGCACCCATGCTTGTGCACCATGCAAGAATGAGTCTCCTTCAGATCTTATTAAGCCAGATACTGCCTGCTCCTTATCTGCTGCCTACAATTTCATCACAAAGGCAGTATTTAAAACAGATTGAAAAGTCATAATGCATATATATATCTACATTGTTATCACGCAATTCCCCTCATCTATTAGACTACACTAAAAGCTTATTTCTGCATCATAATCAAAATGACTTTCTTTTTCCTTTTGTCCCCCTTATTAACAACAAAAATAATTACGGTGGGGATGATAAATATGGGGGTTAAATACAATCTGGTCAAAAGAGTAGCAACAAGTGCTCTATGATCCTGAATCAGTGAAAAAGAGACCCATGACATTCCTGCTAATTATATTACTCTTGGTCTCAGCAACAAACCATATTGCATACAGTTATTTTCCTCAAATAAAGGCAACAATGAAGCCCGATGGAGTCTTGAGATCACTTACGTATCTAAATTAATTTTGGCTGCCTCAAGCATGTCATCTTCGACCAAAAAAAATAAAAATAAAAGCATGTCATCAAGCTATAAATAATGTACAGTTACATATATCAGTGTCAAGATATAAACTATAAACTGTGCCATTCGCTAACCATTATGCTTTTGGAGGAATCTGCAGTTTACTAAACTTAAGATGGTACCAAGATAGAGATCTCAACTTCAATTGCTCACCTTCCCCAGCACCCGTTTATGATTTTAACTATACTTCATAAGTTTCAATAATTCGTTCACCCAGATGTATTGGGTACACACGCTTCAGGCTATTGTCATCTAACAAGCATTTGCATGACAGAGTGTGCTAAAATGTAAAGGATTTCCATTCTCTAATAGCTTGAGTATTTAAAGTAATCAACTGTGCACCCAACTCATATGTTAGATTTACTTCTCAAGGTTAACAGATTCAGGAACTTTCCTGGAAAAGTTTATGTCAAATTCTTGTGCACATGATCCTATTTCTTGATCAGATATCTGGGTTCAGAGAATAGTTTTTCCGAGGAGTAGGTTCACCAATTTACATATACAACAGATCAAACCTATTAGCAATATAGAGAAGCCAGATAGAGAAGCTTAACCTCTATGCACTTTTTTCGTGCATAGTCATAACCAATAAATTCCATAGGAGCTGATAAAGTTCAAGGAGAACTGATCTCATAGAATAATCGATCATGTAGTAAGTACAACACAATAACAATTGCATTACCTTCTCAGTGTAATACTCAAAAGTTTTTTTCTTCTGTCCAGCTTCATATATGTTGCATTGCGAGAAAATCTAAAATAATAAATGAGACCAATAAGGGAGTGAAAAAGTGCATCTTGCACTGGACTGCAAAAACAATTATTCTGAGACCAGGAACACGTACCTGGGATTCTACACTCGCACAAACAGCGTATATGCCCCAGTTTCTGGTATAATTGTTGTACAGATGAACTTTTCCAAACCTTACCCGAGGATGCCTTTGCCGTGAGCCATCAAAGAAGCAATGGTGGATGGTTACACGGATGCATCTATCCATTGTATGAGATGGGTCAGCTCCAATAAGCATAGTCTTATCATGATCTGAAAAGTGACACCTGGCGCAGTACAAAAAGAACTAATTAGCATCTTTTGTTCAAGCACATAAACACATCATCCAAACATGTACACTTGTAAGGTAATGTGACACATGTCAAGTGGCCAACCTAGAAACTGTAATGTCGGTGCTTTGGCGAGTGATATCTATCAATCCATCGTCATAATCACGAAGGCTGCAGCGGTCTATCCATATATTCCTCGAATTTGGTTTAATTTGGATACCATCAACATCATGACCTCTACCGCCTTCAAACTCCAGGTTGCATATTATAATATTTTCGCAATCCTTCAGTCTCAAGCCCTTGCCAGTGAGCTTTATCCTTTGGCCTCGGCCATCAATTGTCTTGTGAGATGACACACTCAGATAAGATGAAAGACATATGGTACCCGAAACCTCAAACACTATCCACAACGGTTCTTTTCTCCGGCATCCTTCTCGTAGCGATCCGGGACCATCGTCTAAAGACAAAAGTGACCAAAAAGCACGTCATTTGAACCGGACGAAACTACACAACAGGATCACTACAGAGCATCTGCTGAAACAAAAAAAATTGTATTCCAAAGGTGGGTTCTCAAAAGAAAATAACTCAGATACGACATAGCGCCACACAACCTCCGCCTAGAAAAAATTCCATTTTGGGTTGGATATTATTTGACTTGAATAAGATATTTGTTGCCCATGTCATTTTCCTGATCAAAGAGATATCTATTCACACAGATATCCGGTCTCCGAATGATTCACGGAAAGTTTCGGATCATAGATGGCCGAGACATGTTCGTGCACACAAGAAAACATAAAACCATGTCCAGCTCTTCAAAATGTGCGACTTTTCACGAAACATCCGACGTGAATCGAACATTCTGAACAGAAATGCAACCATCCTACTCCATTACAATGGTGATCGAAGCCAGGGGAGAGCCAAAGAGCAGCATCTCAAACAGGCAAAAAAAGGCGTCAAAACCAGCGAAACAAGAAATGACCACGAATCGCACACCCCTCAACAATCGAGAGGAAAACCGAAAGAGAAGAGAGAGAAAGAGAAGAACGAGAAGAAGAAGATCGAGAGAGATCGAGAGGAAGATTGAGAACACCTGAGAGAGAAGTGACGTGATAGAGAGGTCCGTGGAGGCCGCCGACGGCCAACCGGCCGAACCCCTCGGCCCGGCCGGCGATCGCTCTCAAGCTGAAGTCGACGTCGGAGTAGGGCAAGGTCGCCATGACTGTCTTCCTCGGAAAGCTCTGGTTGGTTTTGATCAACGGCACGTTGCTGGGGGGAAGTTCTTTCTTTATGACTCTTCGCGACAGCATTTCTCCGTGGGATTTCCGATGTCCAAATACCAAATTAACGCAAATAATCCCTGAATTTTGATATAATATATAAAATAATCCTTAAAATTTTAATTTATTTAATATGATCTCTGAATTTTATCTTAAATATGCAATGTCATTCATGAGCATTTTAATTTATTTAATATGATCTTTGAACCTTTCGTACATGAGATGCTGTATTGAATCCAAGGAAATATTAATCCAAGGATAAAAAAATTAGAGACCACAATGGATAAATTACAAGTTCATGGACGACATTACATATTAACCTAAAGTTCATGAAGAACATTACATATTGAGATAAAGTTCGAGAACCATTTGTATACATGGATTTTATTAACAATTGCATTGTTATACATTTCATTTAGGAAATTTTGTCATCTTTCATTCATTATTTGTCTTGTGCTATAAGTAATCAGGATATAGAAAATAACACATTTTATTTATGCTTCGTTAGTTTCACGGAAAATAAATAATTCAAAAAATATTTTCTTAAAAAATAAAAATGAATGAATGAAAATATTTTCATTATCCAGGAAAATATTTCATCATAAATCATTATCGATAAGTAATCATTTTTCCAAATAATTGATTTTTTGCAAAACAAAAAGAGACTATGGGTATGGTTAAGTAGTGCTCGAAGGACACTCGTTAACAATATCCTTTTAATAATAGCAAAAAAAAAAAAACACTATCACTTTTTAAATTGACAAAAAAAAAGCATCAATTTTTTTCTTTAGCTCAAAAATACTTATCCATTAACTTTTCCGTCCAAATAAACTGATATGGCAGTTGAACACGACAAATGATAATGATATGGCAAATGACATGTCATTTAAGTGAAAATAAGGTAATGCCGTGTACCAAATGACGTCATTTTGTCGTTAATCCGAGTTGTTGTTTAATTTTCTTGCTTCAAAACAACATTGTTTGATGCACGTTAACATTCTAGTTTTCACTCATATAGCGTATCATTTGTACACATTATCATCATTTGCCATGTTAGCTGTCACATAAGCTTGCCCAGATAGAATAATTCACCACTGAGGAACAAAAATTGATGTATTTCCATGAGATGAGTATATTAAAAATCCTAAAATTTATCACGAAAATGTAATTGAGTCCTAAAACTTATGATAAAAGTGCAATTGAGTCCTAATATTTTCAAAAAGTACAAGTCCTAAAACTTGTCAAATTGATGCAATTAAATCCTAAAACTTTTTAGCATTTTTCGTCTATCAAGTTGGATGGAGTTAATGGAAAGACTTGATTGTACTAACTTGACAAATTTTAAGACTTGATTGTACTTTTTGAAAATTTTAGGATTCAATTGCATTTTCATTACAAGTTTTAGAACTTCCAGTATACTTATTCTTTTTTTCTTGGTTACTTTGATAAGCGGGATATTTTTGTCCCAAGATCTAAATTCATGTCCTTTGACAATTAGCCTTTTAACAATGGGAAAATGACACAAATAGTCCCTGAACTTTGACTCAATGTGCAATTTGGTCCCTGAACTTTTAATTTGTTCAATGTAATCCCTAAACTTTAACCCAATGTTCAATGTGGTCCCCGAACTTTCAAGACATGTTCAATATAGTCCCCGAACTTTATAAAATGTTCAATATAGTCCTTGAACTTGAATCAATGGAATGACTACATTGAACATTTTTATAAAGTTCGGGACTATATTGAACATGTACCAAAGTTCGGGACCATATTGATCAAATTGAAGTTCGGGGACCACATTGAACATTGGGTTAAAGTTCGGGGACTACATTGAACAAATTAAAAGTATAGGGACCAAATTGCACATTGAGTCAAAGTTCAGAGACTATTTGTGTCATTATCCCTTTAACAATTGAGTATTGAAATTATTTTGGGAGAACATCAATTGATCCTCGTACTTTTTAATAGTATTCAATTTGATGCTTGATTTTTTTAAGGGTTAATATCATGAAAAACCCCAAATTGATACATCTGTGATAAATTTACCCAAAACTAATTTTTTGACTACCAAAAACCCCAAACTGATACATCTGTAACAATTTTCCCCTCCGTTAATTTCCGTTGAATTTTACCGTCACGTTTATGAGTTGGATGGCACGCAGCAGTTGACAGTATACCAGTTCTGGGTTTTAACCTCCATTTCTCACAGGTGTACCATTTTATAATTTTTTGTGATATTAATTCAATTTAATGGATGGTAAATTTGTCACAAATGTACCAGTTTGGAGTTTTTGATGGTCAACAAATTAGTTTGAGATAAATTTGTCACAGGTGTACTAGTTTGGGGTTTTTCATGGTATTAACCTTTTTTCAAATTATAGTCAATGCTATCCTTGTCCCACTTTAAGGAGACTTAGTTCATCCTTAGTTCATCTTTCAAGCCAATTTGGTCCGATTGAGGTGGCAATTCAAGTTCACCATTCGACTTACATTTGTTGATGTGGTTATACACATCATTGCCACATCGACAAAATTCGAAATATATAAAACACAAGAAGAAACAAGAACGGATGAATGTCAAAAACAAAGGGAAGGGGGTGCCGCCCTCCCTTGCCCATGACCTCCGCAGGGGTCTTGGTGCCCTCGAATGGCCATTGCAGAGAGCCTGCATACCCTCGCCGAATCCGGTCGAGGCTCACTTGCTGGTAATGGTGTGCCCATGCCTGGATCCACGACTCTAACTCGTGATGTTTTCCTCTTGTCGTTTCCTTTTTTTTTTAGTTAAATTTTTTCTCCTATTTTGGTGTTTCTTTACTTTTCTACAAACTTTGCTGATTTAGTGATCGCATCTACAGTCACGTGAACAAACGTGTGTTCCATGTCTGAGTCAGATTATTATTTCAAATGCCAATGGGACTAAATTGACTTGGAAGACTAAATTAATCTCGTTAAAAGAGCACAAAGACGCATTGGCCAAAATTAAAGTCTAAGAAACGAATTGAACATTAGAGAAGTATAAGAACTAATATGACATTATCCCAATTGTTTTTACTTATTCAGATTTCCGAACCCATCAAATATTCAAAATGATATAGCCTGGTTTCCTTTTTGGGCCAGTCCCTACCTACCATCACTTCTTGTTCTTATTTTTTTTCTTTCTACAAGAAATATTCACTTTTTAATTTTTTAAATTGTTAATCGTTGACCCTAAACGAGTTTTGATGATTCAATAATCACCTTTAATTATGTTGAAATATATCGTTGCTCTTACTCATTTCAAGTGGTTTTTGAAACAAGTACAAAATTCACCATTTCTCTTGAAACTACTGGGGCTGGGTGATGGGATGTAGGGGTCGGGGCACCTAGATGCTTGTGTGGGAAGTCCAAAACCCATTCTAGCCGGTGTTCGGGTGACCGTAGGTATCCGTGTGGGCGCTCGGAAGGCATAATGGTCGAAAAATTAGCCGATGCTGTTTAATCGCTAATTAAGCTTGATTAGTATGAGTAAGCACTCTCTTGCTCGGGGAATTAAGACCCACAAACACATCCAGGCATCTATTTACTCCTGCTCCTTGATAACATTGCAATATACCTCAATGTATAATTTTGCTTGCAATGTCTTAGCGGGATCCTATGCCACATTGTATCCTTATTCCATGAGCTGTTTTATTTAATCTTTCAGTTGTACTTACCATAACTATATGAATATATTTAAGAAATATAGTTGTGAATAGTGTATAAATATGTACATTTAGAATACAAGAAATAAGGAATCGGTTCACACTGAGATCTTCCATTTTGTGTCCTTTCTCACGGTATTAGAGCAAATATCAATCATGGTGTAGTTTCTTCTTCATGGCCGATCAAGAAACTTCCAGTATCTCTCCCAAGATCAATGTAACTTATCCATATTTTCTTCACTCAAGTGACTGTCTGAATGCCCCTCTAGTCTCACCTCATTAGATGGAGACAATTATCCAACATGGCATCGTGCCATATATTGCCATGCTCATGACCCTTAAGGCGAAAAATAAATTGTGCTTTGTTGATGGGTCCTTGCTACGTCCTAGTTCAACCTCTTCGAATTATCCCTTACGGATACGTTGCAATAGCATGGTGAGGTCTTGGTTGATTTATTCTACAATACTAACAATCTCACATATAATTCTCTAGCATGACTTTGCAAATAATGTATGGATTGATCTTTGCGAGCACTTCTCTCCTCTTAACACTCCTCGGATTTTTGAGATCCGTAGGGCTTTATCTACACATCAACAAGGTACAAGTTCGATATGTGCTTATCACACTGTGATTAAATCCTATTGAGATGAACTAGTGTTCTACCGAGCCTTGTCGACTTGCAGTTGTTCCACAACGTCGACCCTGCTACAGTTTCTTAAAACATATTCATTATTAGAATTTTACCAAGGGCTTAATGAATCTCATGCCGCAGTTCGGAGTCAGATCCTCCTTATCATTCCACTCCCTCCCTTCAACAAAGCATATATTTTACTTTATAAGAGGAACGACAACGCACTGTTCAGGACATTTGCACTATTATTCCTGGTCCTGTTACCGTGGCGTCGCTTCGTCTTAATGATGCTCGCACTTTTTTGTCTACGGGTTCTTCCAAACTCATATTACATTGTACTCATTGTGGAAGGGATGGACATCTAGACAGCAAGTGTTTTAAGAAGCACGAATATTCGGAATGGTGGAATGAATGGTGGAATGATCGTAAGAAGCGTCCCACCAATGATTCTAGCCACCAACGATGTTCATGCCTAACTAGTCCTCCAATTGTTGTAGTAGTTGCCATTGTTGATTCCTCCTCTCCACCGACCCACACTGCTACACAAATAAAACAACTCCTTTTACTTCCAGCTTCTTTTCACCGTTTGGTGAATTTAGCAGGTGCTTCCATTTGTGTACATTCCACTTCATTTTGGATCATAGACTCTGGTGCAACGGATCCTCTATCTTGTAATTGCAACCTTGTTTTCTGAATTTTATGATAATA